AAAAACAACACTAAAACTGCAACTTGTTTTCAGAAGAAACAGGGAAATAAATGTGTACAATAGACTGGGTATCTGCTGATTCTGATAAAGCGTCCCTGTGTTGGCGGTGAGGGAAAGACAACAGGATGGTTATTTGTACAGTATTTATCTTTGAAATCAAGGGCCCTGTGGTATACCTCACCTTGGGAACAAACACTGCAGAATGATCACAGAAAAGTGTCAAATCTCTGGTTTTGATTTACCAACAGTTATGATATTTCCTCCTCCGGATGGGGAAAAGATGTGCTTCATTTTTAGACCTGTGAGTCTCCCCGCCCCCTTTCCCAACCCTGCTCTCTGTTAAGTGCCTCGCTCAGTGGCACTTCATTGACACATGGGATTTTTAGCCTGAAAAAATTGGCTGATCTTGGCCTCTGTAACGGTTACATCTTATTAATCTGGAGCAAGAGAAGAACAGAAAACAGTTACCTGGCACAGTCACTTCCCCTTGCCCAGTGTGAACCATAAAAACCAGGTGGAGGAACCCAAGCCCACGTCAGTATAAAAACTGGGGTTGAATGAAGTCACGGGGTATGACACGCATGGATATTCCCGCCAAACATGAACAAAGTTGAGGGCTCTGTGAATCTAAATGAACATAACCCAGGACAGCAATGTCCAGGGAAACATTTGTGTTAAAAACTATGCTGGTGACACCCAAAATGTTACCCTAGGTCAGAGGTCAGCAAACTGTGGTCCAGGGGACACAGCCAAACTCATTCCTCACTCACGGCCTACGGCTGCTTTTGTGCCACAACGGCAGAGGTGAGTCCTAGCGGCCTGCAAACCCAAAAATACTTCCTGTCTGCCCCTTAATGGAAAAAATTTGCCATCCCCTGCCCTCTGTGTGGGACTTTTTACCAGAAATACATGATTAACAAATTAAAGAACAGTTTCACCTGACATATCAATGCTTTGCATAGTCACAACTCCTTTCCCTGGGTACGAGGTCAGAAATTTTTGGATATTTAAAATTACCCATCCTTTCAAAATATATGTAAGTAGATAAGAAGTGCTAATAGTTTTAAAGAGTGCCTAGTATGAGCTAGGCAATTTACATGATGTACCTTCTAACAACCCTAAAGGTGGTTATTAACATCCCAAATCACACGCAGCGATACTGAAGCTCAGACATGCTGGGTGGGAACTGACTGGCTCAGAAAACACACTAATAGCAAGTGGCTTTACTACCCAATCTGCCTTTCTCCAAAATTTCTTTACATCCACTGTCAAGTAGAAAGCAAGGCATTAATAAAAAGTGCTGCCTCCAACCAGGTAGTACAGTGAAACAGTGAAGAACAAGTACTCGGAAGTGAGGCTGCCTGGATTTAAATCTTGGCTTCAGTTCTTACTATCTGTGTGATCTTGAATAAATCACTTAACCTCTCTGTGCCTTAATTTCTTTAACTGTATATTGGGAATAATACCACAATATTATCACAATACGGTGGTTGTAAGGATTAAATGAGTTCATATATGTGAAGCAGTTTGGGACTGTGCCTGTTGTACAGTTTAGGGCTATTTAATTATAAACTAGTACTAGGGGGGTATAAATCAGGGGATTAGAAAATAGGTGAAAAAAAATCTATGAAGTTCACAGCTAAATCAAGGTCAAAGCAATGCTACATTTTGTTGAGTAAAGAATCCCTCGGAGAATCCAAGCACCACTGGTATCAATTTGCTTAACACATTGATTGCCATGTGAGTTGTATTTAACTCAGGCTAGTTTTGAGCCTGGGGCCACATGAAGCAAAATCCTACAGTTGGTTTGTGGACATCTTACTTGTTGATGTTCTTATGGTTACAATTAATATTGACAATTTAATTCTAAAAACGTGGCTTGCGTTGCATATAACTCATGCACAGAAAATAAAAAATAACAAATTAGAAAGGATAATTTTGTTTTAATCAAATGCTGTGGCCCCAAGGAAAAATTTTTTCCTAGTGTGGCAGTCAATGTATTAAACTATAAAGAAATCCCTTCTAAAAGAGAGAGATAACAGAAGAGTTGACCCAGGAAAAAGATGCTTTCAGAATCCACAAATCTAGCAATTTGAGGAGAAACACTTAAAACATCGCTCTCTGATGACAATGACCCCTCAAGATGACATCATTCACGGAAGTCAGGTGGTTTTTATTAGAACCCATAAGAAATTTGGTAGCTTCTTTCTGTGTACTTCAATGGAAAACAAAGTTGGTTTCATTAAAGCCAATTTGACTTCCCTTTAGACTGAAAGGAGATGTGAATCTTTAAGACGACTAATTCATTTTCCACTGCATTAGACGAGACCCTGATACCTGAAGACAACTCTGAATTTCCAAGTGTTAAAATCATGCCGTAGAGAAAAACTGAAATCCTGAATTGTCATATGCAACCAATCAATGTGTAACTCAGGAAAGCGCCAAGGGAACTTTTGAGTTCTAGAGTGTTTTTTCCTCATTCAGCATTTGTTCTTCCTTTGCTCTTTTACAATACTCATTTGCACTTCCTGGAACCAAGCCTCTCATCCCTAGCCCCCATGTGGTTCACATGGGGTGAACATCTCCCTCTGCTCTGGAGGTGGGCACATGATGCAAGCCTGGGTATGTCACTGTGATTGGCTCAAAGCTAGAACACATGACTCAGTGTGGGCCAATGACCGTCTGCCCAGGGCTCTTTTGGAACTACAAGGGAGAGACCAGACCTGTGTCACATAAACCTGTCCTCTTCAGTTCCACTTGAAAAAAGCCCAAGAACAAACGCAACACAGGAAAAGAGAGCTAACAGACAAGCAACAGCCTTGTTTAAGCATTTGGATCCAGCCATGCTTGAAGGTGACTCTACCACTGGATTTCTTAGCTACAGGGGAAAATTATCAAATTTAAGTTGGGTTTCTTTGACTCACAAACAAAAGTCTCCTGACAAATATAAGTCGATAAATAAGTACCAGGAAATAACCAAGCAACAGTTGCAGGTTGATAGTGGCATTCCAATTCCACTGAGCAAACAGGAACTAAGAACATGTCGTGTCATGTGCAAAACCACAATAAATAATTGATAGGTGGTTTCCTATACAAGAGCCAGACTCCTAATAGCCTTAGAAGAGAAACAGGTTTTTTTAATAGGAATCAAGTTTAGGCCCAAATTCTAATGATATTTAGATTCTTTTCTTTAACATTAGGTATGGTTTGAAACTGTGCTGTTTTCAGAGAGATATATACATCAACTAATTGTCAGCTCATATAATAAATGAATCTATGATTTGAGGATTATTAGGGCAGAAACACTTTGGCCATTAACAAAATTCTTAAAATGGGTCATATTGGGAAACTGGTATTTCCCTTTCTGACTAAAATTGATATATGTCACTGAAAGTGACCATGATATAATTTAGAGACTTATTTTATACAAAATCATATTTACAGATGTTTATCAGCCATTCTACACATGAGGGAAATCAGCAGCAAAATATTTACCAAACCTAGCACCGGTGCAGAAGGAGAAATCAGAATTTAAAAGTGGTTTCTGCCAAGTTATTTTTCTCTCATTATATAAATAGGATTAGGCAAATGATCAGGAAAAAACAAAACAAAGATTCTATAGTGAGTGACTTATAAAGAGAACAAAGTAATATACCACTAATCTGGTTCATAATAATTACAAAGAATTATTGCTTAATTTAAAATAAAGCATTGCTGCTCTTGATTGTTGATATTTAAAAGCAATTTTGGACATCTCCTTCAAAAATGTTTTTGAGTATTTAAGTTCTCAATGACCATATAATGCTCTTGAAGTAAAATATTTAAGTTGAGAAGCTATGAAATAGATTCATTGTCTTCCATGAATTAATCAAAACACTATATTCACACAAAACCGCTTGCAGGTTAACACTACCTGTATCTCTAAGGGTAGCTTTATTATAATATTTGTATCCGGGTCCATAAAGATAGATGTAGGGATTGTTCTAACAATATAAAGAGACCACACAAAACTGGAGACCTGCCCATAAGTCAGCCCACCTCTCTTTTCCTGGGGCTTGAATGAGAGAAGAAAAAAATAACCAGAGGGGAACTGTCTCTGACACCCGATTTGTAAACCCTTATGCACCAGATGTACAAAAGTTATATATATGTATATGTTTACTACATGACATATGTATATAATATAATGTAATAGAATATTCAGTCCATAAGTCAGAGTCAGTGATATTATGAGTATATTTACATGATGTCAAAAACGCAGGACAGTTTAATCTAAATTTTTTTTTAACCGACAAAGTAACATAGGTAAGGGAAATATTTAGATGTAGTATAGAAGCATTTCACCTCAGCTATGAGAAGATTAACATATCCTTTTCTTACAGAGATACTTTATCAGTGTTATAGACTCAAATAGGATAACCCAAATTTTAGTCATACTTTAATAGTAGAAATTAAACTTACTCCATTCTCCCTATAAGGACAAGAATCTGAACAGAAGTCAACCAATACAGAAAGATAAAAATCAGTTTGAAGTATTTCCTCAGCATCTGTTTTTTAGGTTTATAAAGTCATTTATATAACAACAAAAGGGTCCAATCACCACGCTGCAACTGGCCACTAACTGACACCAGTTTTATAAAATTAGCATTAGTGCATATGTCACTGATTTCATATGTAGGGGCATGAATAAAAGTGAAAATCAATTATTACAAGTTTAATATTGGGATAATTTCTTTAAAAAATCATTCTGAAAAATGAGTAAATACAGGCTCTTACTAAGAGTACTACTGCCTTCGGGTGTAAGTCTTTTTCCCTCTGCCGTACAACCTGATAGATTCTGTAACTATTCCTATGACAGTGTGCTAGACCTTGTGATTTAGAGTCTGCTCTCAAAAGGGTGATATGAAACTCTCCATCGAAAAGGCATTTTATGAGCAAAAGCATGAACAGTGGGAGGTGATGGCTATGCAAAGAAGAAAACAAAATAAAATCATTCTTACTTTAGAAATGATTGGAAATCTTCGCACACTGCTTCACAGCCTGGCCACTTGCATACACCATGTCCATAGAGAGGATGGCTATGGGGGTGCTCCTCATGGGACAAACTGAAAGGAAAACACAGAAGATAAGAGAATGAGTTTGCTGCCAAGCACCATTCCACCAGGCGAGGATATAAAAGGCAAGAGGAGCCCACATGGCCAAATGCGGACATGACAAATCTGTGATTTTCTTTTCCCATGGAATCTACTAATTATTTCTGCATTGTTTGTTAAAAAAGCAAGAGTTACATTGTACCTAAATGTGTCTAGTCAAATGTTAGAAATGTACATCTATGTATGAAAAGTGTTTGACAGGCTTTTGTTAAAGGCAAAGCTCGACTCCGACTGTGAAGGAGTCTTTAAAAAGCTAGAATTTATTTAATCTACATAATAAAAATTATAAAATCTGTACTTGATTTTGAGATTCTCTGGTTATGTTTTCTACCCAGAACATTATACATTTTTCCTCTTCATCTCCCCCAGAAACTTTCATATAACTGTGAAATTTTTTTTCCATAAGTTAATTTTATCCAGCAAATAGTACAATTAAATAATTTAGAATAATAAAATAATTTAGAAAGAAATGTATATACAAGTAGAGACGGTGAGTTTTTTTTTTTTTTAAAGCTAATAGTGGAAGATTATATTTCTAAAATTACTGAAACCAAGAGTAAGAGAAAACTTGGTATGAACACGAAGGGGTTAATCCTCCAGTGGGGTTCCAATCAATACGTAATGATTCGGGCACACGGATCCAAGTCATGGGATGCTTTGATGCACACCATGTGGTGCTTGGGGAAGAGTATCTGTTGCACTCACTCATGAACCATATTCTCAAATATTTTCTCTATTATATTTCTTCATCCAGACTTCTTTTAGACAAATTATTTTTACAGTTGTTTCCATAACCTTAAACTCCATCAAACAGAAATGTAAAACTAACATTGAGAGTTCTGTTTCGTACTCAAGCACATTCCCTTCACGGGAAGGGCTGTTTTGCAACTCACTCTACTGCTTCTGCCTGACTTTGAACTTCAAGTACAGTGAATTATGATTACTTACACACACACACACACACACACACACACACACACACACACACACATACACGAGGCCTGTATTTTATAGTACCATCAGGACGTGTATTCCTATATTTTATTGATTCACATTCGTAGAGCATATGTACACAAATGCCACTTGTCCCTGACTTATAACACAATTCATAGTAAGCATAACATGAACACTTAAACTAACGAGCATTAAAAGTAAACACACATACATATAAAACTATACCTTATCAAAGATCATTAGGTCTCTCTATGGCTTTTGAATGATTTTGCTGGAAATCTAATATAATTTGAAAATAATGACAAGCTATTTCCCCCTAAGATAGAAAATAGTTCTGTGAACCAAAACAAACAAACAAAAACCAGAAAAATAATTTGTAAAAATATTGAAAGGTGCTCCTCATGCAAGAAAAGAATAAAACTAAGGGAACTAAAGTAACCATAGTGAAATTTATAAAGCTGAACAATAAAGGCATACTCTAAGAAGCTAAGGGTAAAATTCCATTGGACACAAAGAAAGAACTACTACCTATTATGTTCATCTTCAGATTTGCTAATGAACAAAATAGATATGATGCAAAAATTTAAATTACTAACAATATTGGATATGAAAGAATTCTTCATCAGTACTAGAATTCTCAGATACTCTATGAGGGAAGAAACTCATTTAAAAAGAAAACCTTTTATCAACAGCTTGAAATGAGAAAAACACCCCAACCTTAATAATTACTGTCTTCAGCAATTTTTATTAAGATTATTTAAAATATTCTCATAACTTCAAAAGAGTTAACAGATATTTGTTTTAAAAAAACTTGGAAAATACTGAAAAGAAAAAAAATTACCCTCAGATGCACAAACATATACACATACTCTTTTGAAAAATTAAGGCATGAATATTGTATCATTCTTTTTTACATTTAACATAATATTATAAATAATTTCTCATGTTATCAACTCATTTTCAGGAACCTTATTTACAGATGGGCAATAGTCCATCACATACCATACTAACTCTAGTTATGTGCCAAAATTTATGTAACCCTTCCTTTATTTTAGACATTGAAATTCCCTTCATGTTTCTTATATTGGCAAACAATATTAGAAATAAAATTTACCAGGCTAAACATCCCAGTATATAACAACTGATTTCTAGCAGAAGACACATTCAGAGAAATGGAATCATTCAATTAATTAATGAGTATTAGATTTAAAATTCACTATGAATATTCTATCAAGTTGCTCTTGAAAAATGCTACATGCAAAGTACATTCTTTGCCATTATACATATTTTGTGTGATTCTTCAATTTAGAAATCAGGAGCCTGAACTAGTTAGGATACAAAATTAATACCACTAGTTAACAACTGCAAATAGTTATTCTACTGTGTTTCTCGGGTTAAGCCGAAGGTGTTCTGAAAGTAATAATATGAAAGAAAATAATACTACGCATTCACTAGAGGGATTTATGACTAGAAATAAAACATACATGATTTACCATGATGTCTGCCATTCCCTCTACACAAGTAAGTTTTTTGGTTAACTTATTTGTGAAGGATCCAAAGGCTGAATAAAAACTACTTTCCTCTAAGAATCTATTTTTAGCTCAACTTGTTATCATTACTTCAAAGTAAGGACAGAGGACAACTCACTATGGCCTTAGAAGGACAATCAGTTATAGCTGAAGTCTAAAGGAACACAAACTCCTCACACACAAGTACAAATTTACACACACAGAATACATCTTGAAACTTTGCCTCTTAGTTAAAAAAAAAAAAAAGATCGTTACTATGAAAAGATTATACACTCTTATTTTTAAAAGTTCATATATACTGAGTTGGCTACTGAAGAAAGCGCATCCGCCACCTGACTCCACCCCACTACACACCACTGTTAATGTTCTGATACATTATTGCTCTGCGTTTCTCTTCTAATGTATTATTATTTTCAAAAATGGAAACATACTACACATACTATTGTCACTTGCTTTTCATATGTAATATATTGCTGGATACTTTAAAATACACAATTGTCTATTTCAAAGCGCTTAGCTTTGGGAGGAGAAAGAATAGGCTGGCGGTGGTGCCCTGACAGAATCTCTCTGGAAAGAAACACAACAAACTGTAACAATTGCTGCCTCTGGGGAGGGGACTGAGAGTCAGGCGTGGCAGGGAAATTGAGTTTTTACTGTATCACATTTTGTATCTTTTGAAGTTTTTATTTTATGCATTGTAGGAATTGTTTGCTGTGCAATTGTAAATTTTTTTGCCCCTCCCACACGCGTGTGTGTGCGTGTGTGTATATATAGTAGAAAAAAATCAAATGCTATGCATGACTCGATTTTCAGACTGCTGTTTGCCCTGACGGTGGCACAGCGAATACCACACTCCCACTGCACGTGCGGCTCAGTCTCGCTTTTGGCCTTTCAGTCATTCTGTATGAAGCACCATCAGACAACACCAGCTGCACCTCTGAATGGGAGCTTTTCTGTTTCATCAAACAAGTGGAACAAGCATTGATATTCTTTACTGCCTTTTGGGTCATGCCGAAAGGGACAAAAAGGGAAATAAAAAATAAGTAATTTTTTTTTAACTTAAATTAATTTAGAGCTACTTTTACAGGATGAAAGATGGTGGGAAAATGGTGATCTGAGCATCTGATGGTAAGATAAAGCTGTGAACCTAATCATTTAAGTAAATTGTTCCAGGGTAACCCACCAAGTGTAAAATAAGACTTCTGAAAAGCTGCCAAGGTCAGTGATGAATAAAGATACACTTAGTTTTTAAGGGATTTAAACATATTTGCCCCAAAATCAAACTTCTAAAAATTTAGGGTCAATTGTTTAATAAAGTTATTTTTTTTTTTTAACTATAAAATTCCAGGTTGAATATTCCTGGGGACATAGATCACTTATTCATCTCTGCATACGCAGTATCTCACATAGAGCATGGGCTCAATAAATGTTAGGTTAATTTATGAATGAACAGACAGTAAAGATACCGTTTTATTTAATTTTGGTATGGATATACACTCAATCAGGGTTTGCCTTTTTAAAAAATTCTTGTAGGTAAAGACCAAAATGATGCAAAGCCATGAAAGAAAATATCATTGTGACAATTTTTATTATTTAATTTTATTCCAAACGCAGCTAGTATGCATTTGAGAAAAGCCGGTTGATTTAAATTTCTCTTGATAATCCTTGATATGTAAAAATTAAATATAATTTTAACACAAAAATAGTGAAAGCATTTCAGATTAGAAAGAACTTGCCATGAAAAGGATAATTACATATAAATATGCAATAATTCATGAAATTACATGATACCAAATACAGTATATATTCAGTATAGTATAATGGTGTCATTCTCAATGACATTTATATAGGATATTTTTGTTCTATTTATTCCCTCTACATCAAAGTATACCAGCCAGAGTCTTCACTTGAACAATGACCTTGGTCTTTGAGAAAATTTTACATAATGGTTGTAGTTTCTCATGGTGATTTCACTGTTACATTCCCAAGTTCACTACTTAACCAAAACTTGAAACAAGAATTATTAAATTCGCCTGCTAAATAAGGACAATTTCTCAAGTTTGCAGCCTGCAGTATTCAGTGATCCTTGTACTACATTAGTCCTATAAGCTAATTTCCCCTGTGGTAACTAAGAGGAGAAGAATTTTTGAAGGAGATGAAGAGAATAGAGACCTCACTATATCCCAAGACATTTCCTGCCCACTTAAATGTCAATTTTCCTTTCACCTGAAGGCACATTCTCAGCTTTTCCCGTGCACTGACCCAAGTTCTCATGTCTGTCTTCTATGTGGCCCCCTAATTTGTTTCTTCCCCTTTTCAAATCTGCCTCTGTCTGTTGTCTCACTCGCTAAATTTTTGATTGATCTTTAGCAAAAGACTACATCTGTGCTCCTTAGGGTTTATCCCTTCTCCTCCCTCCCCACCAAAATGCCAAAACTATAAACTGTATTTTATTTCAGCGGCATGTTA